ATTAGCATGGTCCCTGTGTGAGGATGATACACATAAATTGAGCAATGGTTCAAATTTTCAAAAAAAAAAAAAAAAGAGGGAGCAAGGAAAAAGTTCAAAAAACTACATCCTACGGTGAGGTCCTGCTTGCAGGGATAAGAAAAGACTGGTCATGGCCAAACCCCTTATTGAAACAAATAAGATACCCTTATGTGACAGACCACCCGACCTTTTTTCTTACACCCCACACAATGGCAGCTAACCTTCCCATGCTCATCATACACTGGGCTTCATCGAGCCTGACCAACTTGGCCATGGCTGCCACGAATAGCGTTGACCAGAAGTTGAAAAAAAAAAAAAAAAAAAAGCCTAGAAAAACAATTACATGTTTATAGTACTTTATAGTAAATTTATACAGAACAAGGTTTGAGCTTTGAAACTTTTTTTTTTTTTCCTGTTTTTTGGACTGACTCTTTAAATGGTACTCTGAAGTTCTTTTTTTTTTTTTTTTTTTTTTCCCCTACAAGCTGGGAACAGTATCCAGCAAACCCTCACAATTGTCTGTGCGGTGCTCGAGATGAATGAAGCATCACCGGCCAAGCTCATCAGGACGGGGAGGTGGAAACGGTTGAAAAAACGGAAAAAAAAAGGATAAAAAATAAGGAGAACCAAGTGAGCTGGAACCAAGGGACCAAACAAAGAGCAAAAACCTTAGCACAAATTATATATTCTGAGCCCAACAAGCAGAAGACAAACTCAACACAAATGATCTAGTTTCTTATGTGGTGTGTGTGTGTGCGCTGGACACTACAGCTGCCCTGCATGGATGGGGCGGATATCACGACCGGTATGGTTGCACTTCTGAACACCGCATAGGGGCTGTAATGGTTAAACCACCAATACTTGGCCCTGCTGAAGGCGGTGGAAAAAAAATAGAGTAGAAACGTCTCTAGTCGGATGAATTTGGGCGCTCCTGTAGTGGCCAATACGTTTCCTAAAATTGTGGCTTGTTAAAGGGCACAACTTCAGGAAACCCTGGTGGTGTAAGAGACTCTGTTCCTATGGCTGAGGGTGCCAGTTCGAGGCCGTGCGTGTGCGGCGGGGCCTGAAGCCCTAAAGCACGGATCAGTAATCCACTGCTCTAGTTTCTTATCAACCTGAGCTCTCTGATTTCCACGGACTATACTCGTCATGTATATCAGACTATAGTGCCTAGAACCGTATTAAATACAAATTCTTAGCGCACAAGTACAAGTCAAAAAAATTCGTATTAAATACAAATTCTTAGCGCACAAGTACAAGTCAAAAAAATTCGCAAAATGTCAGTGCACTGAGTGCAGCGGTCCTGATTTGGCCAATACTGCAACTGGCCTACTATAATTCCCAACGCCTGCATGCAAGCTCGGAAATGGTCTCAATATTTGTTTGTTACTTTTCCCGGGTTGTTTGTCGATGTTTCCCGGCCTCCACCTTATTAGTGTGTGTAATAAAATGAGCAGAGTTTCTTGTTCAAAAAAAAAAAAAAAAAAAAAAAAAAAAAAAAAAAAAAAAAAAAAAAGACAAATGTTGGTGGAGATTCCAGGTACAGATGAATATGGGTACCTGGATTTGTTGCTTCAGACACAAGTTCTTCTCCTGCAGCTCATCTTTGTCGTCCTGGAGAAGAGACTGGAAAGTCAAAGGTAAAGACAAAAAAAGAGTCACCAAGACTTCTCTGAGGTGTAACAAGCCCAACTTTTCTGAGTTGGACTAGTAGGCGTAGTACTATTATAAATTTATTTATAACTCATAGCCAATTAATAAATTATAATAACCTAGGCTACCAGAGTGGCCCGGGACCAATTGCCCGACCGGGCCCAAAAAAAAAGGAAAAATTAATCAATAGTAATAATAATAGTTCTTATTTTAAATTCGGTACAGAATTTCGATGTGACCCTGAGGCAAAAGTTGGTCAGGGGCGAGGTCCCATTAGCAGTCGGATAGGAGTGTGCCCGATCCAGTGTGACAAGTTCATTACGAATTTCTGGGCTGAGAAAACAGGAAAAAGGCCAAAAAAAAACGAAGAAACAGAGACCTCCCACCGGAAATCACAGCAGTGTGCTTCCCAGCCATCAGATCACAAATGATCTGATGGTGGTGGTTGCAAAAACAGTGAACAAAGTAACCGCCACATTTTCTGGAATAAACTCGACTTCTGACAGCAGTGATCCTGACACCCTCCATATACTCCGTGATTGAAGGAGGGCTCCACCCAATGAGATAATTGCACAACAGCAAGTTAAATGCTGAAAATCTTCTATCCAGTGGGCTAAGGCCGACCCCAACCTCGTTTGGGGTTGGCCACACCCCCAACCGATCGAAAAGATTCTGGCGGGAAGCTGTCTTTGCACGGGGATGCCCATTGTTAAGGAGAGGAGGAGGGGAACGAAGATCTCCTTATTTTTTCGGGTAATACATGTAAAATACTGACGGTGGGATCACGAGTAGTGCACGGCAGGATTTGGTCACTCAACTGCCCCACAAACTCGTTTCTACCCTATCCCGTTGCTAGTGGGACCTCGCCCCAGTTTATTTTTCTGCATAACATAGTTTTTCCGATTTTTATTTATTTATGTTCTTATTATTTTTTTTACAGGGACCATCCCTGGTCCTTGCCCGGGCGGCCCTGTCAAACAAGGTGACCCGGGCGTCCCGGTTCATAACACAGATAATAAGCTAATTAACTAGGTTACCGGGCCGGACGTCCGGGACCCCCCTGACCGTCCGGGATGTCCGACCGGACGTCTGGTCGGACGTCGGACCGGACAGGGCATGTCCGACCTAGCGCAAAAAAAATAAAAAATAAAAAAAAATCATGTGGCTTCCACCTTGCATTAGGTGTATGCCACCAAATTTCTGGATCATTTGGGCCAGTAGAATAAATAATAAAAATCTTTAAAGATTCATTCCCCATCTATACCCCTCCTATCCCCACCAAAACCCCTTCTACCCCCCCCCTCCCCCCCCAAATACCACCCTATCAGCAAATGCTCAGAAAAATCTGAATTTTTTTGTGGGGGGTCTCTAGGCCATGCGCAACACTGTCATAATTTTTTATTTTATTTTTTTATTTTTTTTTGGTGCCAAAAAGGCGTCGTCCGGAAATCCGGATGACGGGGGGGGGAGACGTCCGGTCTCCGGACCATTGGTAACCTAGCTAATTAAGTAAAATCTTTTTCTTTTTCGCTTTCCCCATAGTTGACAATTGAAAATTAGGAAAAAAAACAAACAAACACTTGAAAATTAGGTCCCGAAAACACAATACCGGGGGGCGATCTCCCATTGTTCTAGGGTATAAGTTGTTCGATTTTTTTTTTTTTTTTTTTTTGGCACTTTTTTTTTTTTTTTTTTTTTTTTTTTTTTTTTTTTTTTTTTTTTTTTTTTTTTTTTTTTTAAAGCCCATATGTAAACCCTTTATCCCGTTGGTGGTAAGAGAACCGACGGGATTGAGGGTTTATCTCTCGGGCTGCTCCATCTATTGGTGGGGAGCGGCACCTGCTGGAAACCGGGTCCAGCGTCCCATTGAACAACTTATGAATCAGAGATCCCTGTTTTGATGTTTCCTGTGGCTGCGTGTTTTCCTCCTCAGACTCGGGTGTCCTTGTACCCATAAGGCTGCTAATGATTCCCTACCCTTCTTAGAACACACCGTATTTGATAACCCCGCCCTGGTTAGCAGCCCCTTTTTTTTGAAATGCCTGACCTATTTTCTCCCTTGAGCCCCTTAAACCCTATACCCTCTATCCTTTTCCACCTTGTACACCCGACCATCTTGGCCCTTGACGCCAGGGGTTCGGGCCACAGAACTGGCCTCCCATGACAAAATTAGGAGGGCACTTCTACTATCATCATGGTTTAATTTGTTGGCCAACTTGTGAGCGTTGGGGGGGGACAGGGACTTCATGTCTCGTGACACCGTCTCAATAACGAGAGACTGACGGACCATAGCAAGAACCTGACAGACACCTAGCGTGTGTGGTGCATACGCAACAGGGATACAGTGGACACGAAGATGCAGTGCAGGACCTGGTAATGCCAACTCAAACTTTTAGGCAGACAACCTACATGTCTTGTGAGACCGCCTCAATAGCAAGAAACTGACAGGCAATAGCAAGAAACAGACAAACACGTAGTGTGTTCAGACTTTTAGGACGACAGCCCAGTCTCAAGTGCCGACTCATGTCGTATTCACCCGCCATTGTAGTTTAACTATCCAGAAGGTCCCCATTTATCATCACCACTGCCTGCTTCTGGCCCCTGTGACTTCCGGTGAGCTGCAGACAGTGAAGTACACTGGCCTCCATGAGCACGCTTCTGCCCCCTAATTATGACTTGGCTCGGTGTTGCCCTTGCTCCATCTTCACTCCCCACCAATCGGCGTTCTCCGGTGTCGCTGTGGTCTTGATAATGACAGCCTTTCAGTGTCCTTGCAGCAGTTGGCTCGGGAGGGGGAAGGGGGCAGGTGGCAGGTTGTTCAGGATGGGGGAGGGACGGGCGGGGCAGGGGGAAGGAGGGCCATCGGGAAAGGGTGGGGTTGGAGGTGGGGAGGCCGACGGGAGTTGGGGGGGGGGTGACGGGGTGGGCGGTGACGACTGTGATGGAAGAGAGGGCATCCCGAGCGAGGGGAGGGGTGATTGGGGGCCAACGTCCCCTAAGGCCCCGGTTATTGAGTTTGTTGTCGAGGGCATTAGTACCATTGCCCCTTTTGTTTGGCCTGGTAGAGGGGTAGGAAAGCTGTCGGGCGGACGGAAGGACCATTGGTCCTCTTGTGCTACCCAGTTTTTCCATATCAGCTTTCCGTCATCGCTCAGATCTGCAAGCTTTCCGTGGGGATCAATCCAGAGTTCCCGGAAGGCCTGGATGGCCTGCTGTTTGCTTTCTCTGTCCAGGCTCGTGGTCAGAACTTCGGCCAATTTCCTGCTGGCTTTCAGCAAGTTCGCCCGAAGGATCTCCACCAGCTCCGCTTTGGCTTGGTGGTAGCCAAAGGCTGCATCTTGGCGCTCCCCTGAGCATCTCATTCGCCATATTACCATGAGCACTGCCAGCCGCATGTGCCCGAACAGGTTTCTTTGGAATGGGGTCCAGGCTGGTGGGTGGTTTCTTCGTTTTCCTAGGAGGATGAGTGCTATGTCCCACTGAAACACAGTACCTGTGAGGGCATGCCACATCGCGTCCCACCATTGCCAGACCTTTATTGCCACCGGACATGCTAGCAAGCAGTGCTCCAGGTCAGTTCTGCGGCTTTCGGTATTAGGCCCACACTGGGAGCAGATCGGGGACAGGACTCCTGCTTGTTCCAAGCCAGATCTGGAGGTCACCCAATCCGGAGTCGGGAGGCAACGGTGCGTTATTTGCCATTGCAAGGCTCTATGGGAGGTGGGCATTATGTGTGCATAGGTTGTCCACGGGATATGCCGCAATTTGTCTTCTGCTAACGGGGAATCCCTCTTCCATCTTTGTTGAACTATCTGTGTGGATGGGAGCAGGGCATGGGCCCGCTTGTATCCCTCTTTTGCTGTGTATTGCCAAATAGGGGAGGGGTGATGCCCCCCCCATTCCCATTCTTCCGGGTCAAAGGGAAGAGCGTATATCGGGGTGGACATTCTGTAGGCATAGTAGCCTGTCTCGTCCGTCCCCACCACTCTAATTCTGGTTAGATCTTCCGCAACTATTGTGCAGTCCAGGTCCGGGACCCTTTTCAATGATGCCCACCTCGCCCTTGGCACATCAGGCTCATACGCATGCGTTGTCACGCCTACCTGTGTTACGTGGACCACCCTATAAATGGTCATGAGGATGGGGTTCGTGCTGGCCCTGGTGACCCAGTCCAGGCTACGCAAAGACGGACCCTCCCATGAGGCTGCCACCCACGAGGGCGGGATCGCCTCTCGAAGCTGTTGAACTTTATCGTGAATATTCCTTACCGCTCTCAGAGTTGGCTGCAGTTGCTGCACAGTCTTCCAGGTCCCTGTTGGCCCGTCCCACAGATCCTCAATTGTGAATATGCCTTTTCTTACCCATGTGAGTCAGTGGGAGCCAGTGTGCAGGGTGAAAGCGTTCCCAGCATAGTCCCTTATGTACTGGTTCCCAAACAATGGTTGTCGCAGAATTTCTGCAAACCTGTTTGGGGGGCACTTTTGGGTCGGGCCCATCGTCCTCCATAGGCTCAGCATGGTTATCCACAACGGATCATGTTTGAGATCCCATCTGGCGCTGTTCCGAGCGGAGCCATCCCTCGTGTGTCTCGGGGGGCTTGGAAGAGATCAAGCCTTGTTCGTCATCCAGCTTAGGGGGTGAATCGGACGGTGGGGGGGAGAAGGGGGTGCAAGGTGATCCAGCTGTATGTAAGCAAGAGGGAGCCATGAGAGGTCATTGGCCAACAGGAGGTGGGTGATGACTTTGAACATCAGGGCTTTAATTTCGTCCCCCGGGTCCAATATGCCAAGGCCACCTACCCGCTTTCGCTGAGTAACCAATTTCCACGCAACTCTTTTGATGCAATGTGTGTTTTCATGGTCGTTTTTCCAGAGGTAAGCTGACGGGGCTGACCTCAGGTGCGTTAGTTGTGACTTCGGGATTTCCCAGAATGCAGTTTTATACCAAATGGTTGCTAGGATTGCGTTGTTAATCGCGAGTGCCCTCCCTACGAGCGATGTATGGAGGCCGTCCCATTTTAGCAAGTTTCTGCAGGGCAATCTGGACCAATGCCTGGCCATGGTCCAATGGCGGGCCCAAAGCTGTCAGCCTGATCCCCAAGATTGTGATTACTTCCTCTTTTTGCCGCCAGTTGACAGCCGGGTCTTGTGGGGGTTGTGTGTCGTGCGGGGACAACCACCATCCTTCTGTCTTAGTCCCCCAGTTGACCTTCATATCAACTGCCACTGCGAAGGTGTGAATTGTGTCCGTCAGAGCTTTCAAGGATGCATCAGAGGCCCTGATGAGCACTGTCAGATCATCAGCAAACAACGATGTGACTGGTACCATGTGTGGGGGGAGTTCAGGCATGTCTATGCGTTCAATTTCAGGGTTGGCTCGGATCAATGCTGCCAGAGCTTCCATTATGAGCACAAAGAGTAAAGGTGCCACTGGGTCTCCTTGTCTGACTGACCGATGGAGGGCGAATGGTGCAGACAAGTGGTCGTTAACCATGATATTGAGATTAGATTGTGAGTTGCACAATAGAAGGCACTGGGAAAAAGAAGAGAACTTTTTTCTTTCTTTCTTTCTTTCTTTTTTTTTTTTTTTTTTTTTAAGAGGCAATTTTATGTGCTTCCTTTGAATCCTTTCTCTTTGTTATGATCCTGGCCAATTTCGAAGTACACATTCATCAGAAAGTTCAATTCCGTCCAATTGCAAAAGGAAATGAATGAAGAGAGAGGGAAAGAAGAAGAAGAAGAAGAAAGAAAGAGGAAGAAGATGATGTATACCAGCATAGACCAATGCCGATGCTCTTCTTCTTGGCCAACCACTCTCCTCCTCCGTATCACCTCCCCTCTTATTCAAACAAGAAATGATAATAACAATGTTGAATGGCTGAACCAGAATCAATGCCTGAATCCCTCTTCTAATGAGGTCCACCACAGCCATGGCCACCCTCCTTCCTCCTTCGTCCAAGGCCGAGGCTATGACAGACTACCAGGGCATCACCCTGCTGTCCAAAGGACAACACAAAGCAGCTGTGGCTGCTCTAGCTCAGGCCGTCATGCCTCACTCTGCCTCAAAGCTTCTTCGTGTAGCTCTACCCCAACTGCGGCCTTCCTGCTGCAGCGCCCACCAAGGTGATGAAGATGGCAACCACCATAGCCAGGTAAGTAGTACCTCTGGCGCTCCCCCTTCCTAGTCCTGGTCTTCTTCCTCCTCCTGTCCGTGCTGCTTCCCCCAGCAGCGCAGCTCTGTGCTAGCCCTGCTCCAGCCAGTGTGTCGCCAAACTTGCACACCGACAATGAGGACGAGCACCTTGCTCCTCCTGGAGATGTAGCGGCCTGCTTGCCTCTTGGTGAGTGACTTCCTAGGCCTCCAAGCAACCGGTACCTCCTCCCTTTCGGAGGGAAACATCATTGCAGACTCTGATATTGCCCGTACAGGCCCTAGACTCAGACTGGTTGGACTGGTACCCGCCTAGACCTAGCCTACAACTACTGGGCGTCCGCAAATGCCAACTTTGGTCTTCTTCTGCTCGGCCTCGAGTACCTGACACATCTACCTCTACCTGGTGTGGTACCGGCCTACCTGCTACTTGAGTGTTTTCCACTGCCTCAAGTGTCGCGGGCCTCTTTCCCCGCCACTTGAGTGTTTTCCCCGCTGCAACCCTCAATGTCAGGGCCGCAGGTAAGTACCTGCCCTTCGGGCCCTCTGAACGAACAAGTGCCCTTGCGGGTCACACACACACTCAAGCCAACAAGCACTCAGACAGGCATGCAGACCAGCAAGCATGCACACACACAGACTTAGAGAACTCAGCACAAAAAAAAAAAAAAAAAAAGCAAACAGCATTGATCAAGGATAACTCCACTGCGGAACCAAGCCCCAGAAAAGGAAAAAAAGGAAAAAAAGAAAAGGATGCTGCTATTTTTTTTGGCTCAATGATGGTGGGAACCGTGGGATGATGTCCTCGTTTTTCTTCTTTTTTTTATGGTGGGATGTTGTCATTACTAGAAAAAAATTAAATTAAATTTAATTAATGTATGTTTAATGAATTCACCCAATGCTGGACCCATCCGCCTTCAATGGATAGATTCGGGTTTCGTGGAGTGAGTTTGGAACTTGCTCGGCTCTTCATCTTGTGGTAGGGCTCTTGGATGCGTGCGTGATGGATGGATGCCGTATGAATGGGTCATTATGGGTGTATCTGGGGTCTCACCTATTTTTATGCTTGGGCTGATTTGTGCCCATCAGTCTTTCACTCATTCAGACGTTTTAAGAAAAAAAGGGGCAAGTAGGTTTATGTCAGAACAGAGTTCTTCCCAATTCCACTTCGGCGGCTGCTTTTTTTTTTCCTTTCAGGCCTTTTTTTATTGTCATTATAGTATTACGGGGAACCCCGTAGCAGCCACATCCGTGCTCAAGCCTCCAACGAGGGAACATGCGGGAGCTGCACCCACCAGCAGGTGCGATACCTGCTACAGCAGGTGGGCGATACAGGCCAGGGGTCAGCCGGTAGCATCAGGACCAAGCTTCTTCGATGGGCCAGTCACTGTGCCTCCCCTCCGGTCCCCTCCCCCTATGAACATCAGCAGTCTCTGCTCAATGCCACGCGGGGGGACCAACGGCATATCTCTAGGTGGCGGGCGCCAAGCTTGCCCAGGAAGGTACATGAGGCCAATGGGGATTGAACCCAAGCCCTCCTGAATGCCACTTGCGTGCCTTACCAACTGAGCTAGGCCGCTGGATGCGGCTGTTTGTTTCGCCCGCGCCTGTTCTTTTTTTTTTTTTTTTTTTTTTTWTAGCRGGKKTTRAAATTGKGGSGGSWKTTTTTTTTTTTTTTTTTTTTTTTAAACACCCCCACTGGTGATAGTGGTGCTGATAAGAGCAGACACCGCTACCACCCGGGGAGAGGCTCCGGCAGTTTTTCTAGCTGCTAAACTTGCACATTTTGAAACTCAAACGATGACATCGGTGCCACTTCGTCTCTTCTTGCCTATTTCAAACTAAGAAGGTGACTCAGGAGCAGTTCTTCCCCCCTCCCCCCCCCTCCCCCTCCCCCTCTTTCCTTCCAAGAAAAAAAGAACAGTCTGGCCTACAAAAAAAAAAAAAAAAAAAAAAAAAAAAAACATAAAAAAAAAAATAAAAAAAAAAAAAAAAAAATCATTCGACTAACCCCTTTTTTATTTCAAAAACGGAAAAAAAAAAACATCACAGTGTTTCGAAACTGTCATTTTACTTCCATGTTGAGTAACTAAGCCGGAAAAGAAAAGAAAAGAAAAAAAAAAAAAAAAAACATCAAAATAAGACTTGACCAACTACAACGCATTCGAGTTTGAAACCTTCCGCGTCCGCAGTCGCTTCGGGGAAAAAAAAATTAAAAAAAAATTAAAAAATTGCTTAAATAGGGTGATAAGAAAACAAACCATGGCCTCCTTCAGCTCGGCAAGATCTTGCTTCAGTATGGCGTTCTTTTCTGCCAGCATTGCTTCTGCAGCTATGGTATCTTCTTTCTTCTGTGCAAAGGAGTAGAAGGGATGGGGTGCAGAAAAAATGTAAAGGTTAGTTAAGCACCAAAAACTTTGGTGTAGAAAGGTTCAATAAAGCACCAAATTTCAGCACATTTAGTCCTCTTACAGCTTTCATCACTACTGTCTTCCCCCCGACACAACGCACCCTGATAATCAATGTATACAAGCTATATTTCCGGTCAGGTCCATTCAAGAATGGGGGGTGTATTATGTTGGGGGGAAGATGGTAGCCTACAAACCGAACCTACCCTAAGGTCCTCTATAAGGACACCTTAATTCCTTGCCCACCAGTCAAGGTAAGGGAGGAATAGATATGGTGGCGGGGTCTCGAACCCCTGTTCGTGGTTGGACTTTCTTTTTTTTTTTTCTTTTTTTTTTTTGGACTTTGGAAGACGCAATCTATTTTTTTTAATTTTTTTTTCTCTAGACTAGTCTGGAAGGCCTGTGAAAAATTCACGTAAGCTGCTTACGTGATGCAATCTATTTTGCCCTCTCGAGTTCTCGAGGTTTTTTTTTTTTTTTTTTTTTTTTTTGTCC